GTAGGTCTCGTCCTTATTATGAAAGTAGAAACACAAAAATGAAGTTCGCCCGAATCGAAATATCTCGAAACGCACAGGACTAATTCCTCATTGGTCAATTCGAACCGCCGAATCCAAATTCGGCGCACGGAGTGCGCAGTAGATCTCGTTAAAAAATAGGACCTATTGAGTGTTCGTTAATTCTTAATATTCAAAGAAAATTATCGAACATTCCACGTAATCCGTAATCGAGATTGATTCTAGAGAATTTCCGTAGAAATATAAAAGAAAAATCTGGAACGTTCCGTGAACTACGTGCCTGTCTCCAAGACTACGAAATACTTACTTGTTTTTTCACATAATTTTTACTAAACTTTTCCCTCGGCGCTAATAGGTTCCCGCAAAGTATCCATCTTAATCGCGACAGAAATATTTCGGACAGTAAATTGTCATTGTTGCATTATTGTTCTTATCATTATTATTGTATTTCAATTTATTTCAGTGAAATTAAACTTCGATCAGACATTTTCATTTAAAAAAATCGGATTAATGCATCGCAATTCATATGAAATTTATCATACCAATGCAATCTGTCACTCATCAAAGGAAAATAACATTTCATTTTTCATAAAATTTATCCGCTAATTACAGTTATCAGTAAAGGTTGTGATTGGATGACAGGTCATCGTCCTCGGGCAATAAATTGCAGTTTATCGGCTACATAAGCCGTCGTAAAAATTTATGCATTTCCTTACGAATTCCTCACAAGTAATTAATAGTCAATTAAATGACATGACAGATTGACCATTGCTTATTCATCGTTCGTGGAGAGATCCATTAAAAAAAAATCCAATGTAACGTTTTTTGAAGCCGGTTTATTCGATATATATATGTATATATGTACAATATATTATATACATAATTTTTTTATTAATTTATGTATATATAATATTATATATATTTATATCTACATATTTATTTTATTTTTATTCTAAAATTGGTTCCTTTTTCTTTCGTGCTTTGGATCTTTTAATTTTATAATCTCTCTGATTCTAGCTCAGAGTCTGAATCTGAATGTTTGAATTCCGATTCTTATATATCTATCGTTGAAAAATGAAACGGAAACTCATGTACTAGCACCACAAAAGTAACATAAGGCGCGCGTAACGCGCGTTCATCTCTAGTGATTAAAAAAATTCAATGAATTTTTAGTTGAAGAGCCACATAAAAATGTTTGCCACATTTATCATTAGAAGTTATTAAGATATCGTTATTAAGATAATGCAATCTCGAGCATTTTTGGGATAAATAATGGGATTGTTAGTATAATGAAGGAGCCTACAAAGAATTTGTTGAGTAATGAAACCATATTCGCAAAATCTCAAACATTAAGACTCACCATAAAAGGATCCTCGTGTTTACTATCTGGCGATCTCATGTCGACATCCTAAATTGGATAAATTTAACGATTCAGTGACTAATTCTATTCTATTTCTTTTGCATTAGCATTTAGAGCATACTATGCGCATTTTCACTGCGCAGCAACAGGTCCATGCATTAATATTGTTGGTAAGGACAACTAATTGTCATGCAGTTTCGTCGAAATTCTCCGAACGCTCAATATATTCAGAGATTATTAAACATTATCGGTGATTTTGCGCAGATTTTTAGCTCAAGTTCCTCCACGTCTATCTGAGGTTTAATTATGATGTTTTCTAAATTTTCAAGGATTTAAAATTCATTGTTACTTCAATTTTCGTGTAAAAGAAACTGCACTCTTCGAAAATTACATCCGAAATTTCAAAACGAAATATGTAAACAATTGTGCGTTGAAAAATTGACATTTTTAGGAATAAGAAAAAATCTAGTAATTTCTTGAATATTCAAGTAATTCAAGTAATAACTTTTTTTAATTTTTAATTTATTGAGAATTGCATTGTCTTCGACATTGAATTTTCCCGATGAGTCTGAAAATCCAAATTTTTATTTTATTTCAAATTTATTTATTTATTTATTTTGTTATAAATTAAGGCTCGTTCAACGCGAAAAACATACTTTCGTGACTTCTCAAGGCTAATGGGGGAATTTTGTAAACGGTTTTAATTAAAAAAATGGATTTTAACGAAATCGGATTCTATTCCCCTCAAGTGCGTGCCACGTTTAGAAAAAAGTTCCGTAATTTTTTGAGTATTTCTCTCTCCGTTTAACCTCATGAAATTTCTAACAACCTGAGTAAACCATTGTCCTAATATTGAAACGCGATAACTCAACATATTGTGTCCCATATTGCGTAACTAGGCACATGATATTTTGTTCATCGAATTTATTTGTAAAGCTGGAACATATTTACATCATTTTTTCGGTATTCAGGGGACTTATATAATGTTTCCCATATCAGGATTATACTCCGAATTAGTCCATCAATCGATTATAATTTCGAATAATAATTAATTCGCACAATACTATTAATACTACTTACACTGAGAGAAAAATTTTCTTTAGCCAAGAATATTTACTAACCACAAGAAAATATATTTGGCATTAGTAAGTCTTATGGGAGTATTTACACAGTGATCCCCAGATTTACTAGTAGGAAGAAAATATTCTTGGCAAAAATAATTTTTTTTCTCAGTGTATGACGAGAAAAAAATCATT